AAACTGAGACACTCATTAAAAAAAAAAAAAAAAATCTCTCGTGGTACATGTGAAGATAAAATGGTTAAAATCACATTTGAGGAGGAAGATGAAATGTTTTGAGCATTAACCCTTGCCCTCCACTAACTGTAAACTTTCTCTAAAAATACTTTTGTAGAGTTTCTAGCAGGAGTAACATATCCTCACAGACAAGACGGGGATTCAAAGCTTTTTCTGGGTTGGCATTTTTCAAGAAAGCTGACTTTAAACTGCCCGCCCCGCCCCCCCCCCCCCCCCCCCCCCGCCCCCCCAAGACAAATGTTAGGCCATATCTGAACAATAACAAACCCCTGGAAAACTTGCAAGTCAGCTTTTTATGTTTGATTACACTGCCAACAAAATTACATAAAATTATCTTGGCGAGATATTTCAATGGAGACGGCTACTGGCACGGTACTGCCTGAAAAAGTCGCTCGTAGTAACAGCCAACGGCTACGATTGTCATATCTGTGACAAGGGATCTGTGTCACAGTTTAGCAATGAAAAGCATTACACTTACCCCAATTGGTGCGTGGTAAAGTCGAGCACCAAGGCGCATTCCGTGGACTAGCCATTATTTCACAAAATTCATACTGGCAAGCAGCCTACTGCGACCAGCACTTTCCCCCTTCGCCAAGTAAATAACTATTTAATGGCAACTTGGTAAATGTAACTACTTTTTGGCGTTTTTGGAAAAAATAGCTCATCGTGCTAAGAGTAAAAGTGGGTTGACTTTCAGGGGTGTGCTGTCTTGTAGGATTGCTACTAACAAATTCTGACCCGATGAGTTAATTTTTTTTCAAGAAATCAATCGCCCGTAAAATACGATATGATAAAATAGCCATCTGGAAACTGTAGCTCACCGAATTACGTAGTTGGTGCAGCACTGCCGTAAAAATTCCCCATTGCCAAAGTTTCCTGGCAAATCACCATCTGATGAGCTACTAGTCATGTACAAACGACTCCTCAACGGAGACCTCTATAGTGCGGCACTGACCTCAAGGTCACGACCTGGGAGATGTGGCACTGCTCTAGAAATTCACCAGCATTATCACACTTTCCCAATAAATTGCCACAGTGCGTTGGTCGATAGGTGGACCACCGCTCCAACGAAAAGCCCTGCAACATGTTGGACGCCTTTGAACACTGGTCCGACGAATTGTCCTCCAATAGTGTCTTCCATGTTGAATGCAGTCGCAGAGTGGTTCCGTACGACTGCTTCGGCGCACCACCCTGTTTGTCGTCTGCTAAGGAGGCAAAATAAAGGTTCGTGGCACCACCCAAAGCGTTAGTTGCCAGGCTAATTACCACTCCAACGAAAAAAAGCTGCACGACACGCTGGTCACCTCCAAACATTGGTCCGACGAATAGCCCTCCAACGAAGTTGTCTGGGACGAACGGGGTCACACAATGGTTCCGTATGACCGCCTCACGTGTGCGTCGCCTTGTTCGTCGTCTGCCAGGGCGGTCGAATGGTGGTCCGCGGCACCCAGTGCCTGCGCAATGGCATGGCACACGCGCCTGGCGAAGGTCATCTCGACGAGTTCATCGGGCGGGGCGCTGAAGTCGAAGTCGGCGACTTCGATCAGCACCTGCGCTCGTGTGTGCTGATGATACGCCACCCCGGTGACCACTATGACCAGCGCAAACAGCGAGCAGATGATGGGCACCAGAGTGGTCGACAGCTGCTGGCGATGAGACACTGCGTGAAAACGACACCGTGTTCCGTTTTTAAGCTTGACCACGGACAGTCAGGGTGCACGACTCGCGTTCCTTGGTTCTATCTATTCAAGAACACACTTACCTGCAGATACAATTTCCGCATGCTTCTGGCCCTTTGTAGATACCGCGGCTTAAAGGGGTCATGAAACGCTTTTCCAACTTTTTCCTGTTTAGCTTTCCCCCTCAACTCATAAATCGCGCATTCCACCAAACAGTAAAAGAAGACGAAAAGGGGGAGTCCCCTCTTGCTCGCACTCTCGTTTGTGTAATCCCGGACACATCCATTCTCCCCCTAGAAGATTAGCCCGTCGCCCAAAATTCAGACAAAAGTTGCTTTCCCCACCCCGTTCATTCCGAAGCTGACACTGCTGTTGAAGCTACGTGCTCGTTGGGCCAGCCACACTTGACACATGAGCGTGGCAAATGTGGCTGCAGATAATGAAGTCAGGTGATGAAAGGGAGGCGGCTGATTGGTCCGGCAAGCGCGTAGCTTCCACCAAAACATCAGCTTAGGGGTGAAGGGAATAAGTGAGGTCCGGTTGCGTGTGACGTCAGCTTGGACCCGTTGATGCGCTTTTGGGACCGCGGATGTATCACAGTGAAAAGGCAGAGAGGTTGCGAAGGGGAGGAGGTACGAAAAAGTCCGCTCTGTTTTCAAATTTTCGCACTGAAAGTCAGGCTTTTGACTTTCTGCCTTTTTTCTTTTGGTCCACTGAACGATGTGCTATTAGTAAAATCCCAATCTAAAATGATTTATCCCAACCCAAAAATCGTTTCATGGGCCCTTTAAAGGGATACTTCAACGAAAATTTAAAATACACCCGTCGTGTTCAGAAATAGGTTGAATATGATCAACAATATCTGTAAATGACAATCGCACGTTTGTATTTCGAGCATGATGGCTGCATTTTTCGTTATAAACGGCCCGCTCTGGCAAGTGCTCGGAGAGCAGCCAGCGGAGAGCACGTCACATTCGGCGAAATCATGACGTAGATTCTCTCAGGACAAGCAAAGCTGCGGCGAGGCTGACGTCAACAGGATGTCCTAGCCGTTCCAGCCACCGAAGCGGCCGAAGCACGCCAGCGATTGAAACACTGCAACTAACCCCAGAGCTGCTTTTGTACGAATTTTGAGTGATCGGTTAATCCTCTATAATTTTGTAGAGGGACAATAGTGACGTCTGGGACTACGACACACAAAAGAGAGTCTCGGTGAGAAGGGAGTTCCTTCTTCCCCTCTTCTCTCGTGGTGGCCGGAGGCAAGACAGGTATTGTCGCTACCTGTCAAGGTTCCTAGACGGGCATTACAAATCAGGCGTTAGTGACATCCACTAAGTGCTCTTTGCTGATTGTTTTAATTTGTTTTAAAATTCCTTTTTGCGTCTTTTTCAGCAAGAGATTGGCGTGTTTGATGTGATACTGCCCCCTTGAATACCAACAAACCAAGAAATAAGCGCCGAAATTTCGTTGTAGTATCCCTTTAACCGAGTGATTTTAATATATATATTTTTTTGATCCCGGTTAAACACCAGCAATATACCATAGAAGCAAGCGGCCAACAGAAATTTGGAGATCCTCTCAAAATGCCAAGCAACGGCCGCTCGTCAGTTCCTCTGAGAGCAGAAATGCAGAAGGAACAATGGTAGAGGGGGCTTGACCACTTGACAGCGGTGCACGAGCGTCAAGCTTCACCACTCTGCCCCGGCGTTCTTGGGGAAGTGTCTGACGCGGAGGAGCATCTGATCTCTTGCTTTAGCTTTAGAATGTTTCAAAAGTAGTGAGTGGGCGCTTATTGCGACGCGTGTGCAAGCTTGGTATTTTACAGTTGTGGCAGGAGACAGGTCATGGATACGGTCACTAGTAGCGCAAAAACATTCGGTCCTCAAATCGAATAGTACAGGAAAGATTTCAAATACATTTCGAATTTGGAGCTTTGTTGTGCACTTCTCGTGTGGCGTTGACACACGCCTACATGGAAAGCACACCCACATGGTGACTAATGACTAACAAAACATGCACATGCAGTTTGTTAGAAAAACAAAAATGCAAAGGTAAATTTCCATCAACGTGCAGGCAGGTGACCCCCTTGTGTCAGGGCTATTTCTGCGCAGGTGACATATTTTAACTTTTCAAGAAAAGGGCTGAACAGAATGTTTAATTTTTAAGTACCCTGAACAAATGCACAGCACACCCAGAGTTCACCATGCTAAGTAGGTTCCGACTTTGCGATCGAATACGATGGAGAAATTTTACTGCGGCATGTGTTAGTTGCATTAGAGTTAGAACTGTGGCTAAAAATGAAAAAACAAAAAATGAAACACGTTTACAATTCCCTGTAATGCCAAATTAGAGTGCAGCTCTTGAGGAGGAGGAGGAAAGGCTACAGAGGGGAGGGTATCCCATCCTACCCTTCTCCTGCTCCCCTCCCATTTAGCGAAAAAATTTTGCAAAATTTTTTACTAAATTTAGGGAATTTCTTTGCTAAATTTAGCGAGAAAATATTCCCGCTAAATTTACAAACATTTTTTCGCTAAATTTAGCGGAAATTTCCCTGCAAAATATAGCGGGGAAACTGAATTGGTGTTGAGGTTCATGTGACATCAATTTCCCCGCTAAATTTAGCGGAAAAGTTTTTCCGCTAAATTTCACGTGACATCACATTCATTCAGGTGACGTCATGTGTGACGTCACGGGGATAAAATTTTCCCACTAAATTTGCCCAGAAATTTTTCCGCTAAATTTAGTGGAAAAATTTTCCCAGGTTGAGTGGCATCACATGTGACGTCATGAAGGCAAAATTCCGCTAAATTTAGCAGAATTTTACCCTCGTGACATCACACCTGACGCCATTTAACCCGGGGAAATTTTTCTGCTACATTTAGCGTGAAAAGTTTTCCGCTAAATTGAGTGGAAAAATTTCCCACCAAATTTAACGGAAAAATTTTAACCTCGTGATGTCACACATGACGTTATTATGGGAAACACCCCATAATGCAATGCGCGGTTACGCCGACAGCGACGCCGCTCAACCCAGAAACGGGTGCCTAAGAGCTGTGCTCTAAAAAAACATTGTGGGGCAAAGGTTAGCCCAGATCACACAAACTTGTCCTTTATGAAAGGGATCACAGCTTTTTTAGTTTGCAAGAGTGTAAATACAAATTTGCAGAATTTGTGCAAGACTGTACAACCAAATTAAGAAACTGCAACCAAAAAACAACCTAATCACCAAGGGGAGGAAAAAAAACGAGACTGACAGGCGTAGACCAAGTCTGAAATATTTATTAAAGATGTTAAAAACACTTGCATATCATGGACGAAGACTAGTCCCTCGGAGGTCCCTTTAAAAATAATCCAAGGTGTAAACATAAGCCTGTAAAAGCGCTTTTAGTTTTTTCCCAAGCAATCACAAAGTGCACTTGTGCCGACAACACATTGTTAGTTGTTGCTAAAAAAAACTAAAACTAAAAATAAGGATATTGATTGCAGGGTGTGTCAGTGACAACGTTGCCCATACAAAAAAATTGCCCTATAGTAACAGCCTATGCGAGTATTGTCTCCACAGTGAATGACGCTCTGTAAAAAGGGGGTATAGAAGTTTTGCTGCACCCTCATTGTGCCGACCAGGCTTGGGTGGACATCAAGTGCTCTGCACGAACACTAGGTATATACACAAAGCAATCTCGGGTCTTAATTCCTTGTGTAGGAGCTGTAATTAAACATTGTTAGCTACTCCAGTCAACTTGTAAAGGGATTACTAGTTTCCTGCCCTCAAACAAAGTTCTCCTAAGGTAAATGTGGTTGTGAAAACATAGAGAAGCTTATGTGAGCAAGCAAATCAAAGACGCAAAAGGGTTCCTAGACAAGACAATCTCTGGCGCCTGCCCATAGCAGCATCGCAGAAAGGAGCACGTCGACTGTCTCGCGGTAATACGGGATAGGGCGATGACAAATACAGGCCGACACCTTGTAAAGAAGGGACACGTCCCTACCACACCACACCCATTTCACTCAAATCTCACTACATTGTAACTCTGAGCACCACAGATATTCGTGTAATCTCTTAACCTACCAACCGTCCAGTCTTGAGAGTCACCGAGAGTCACTGAAGTTGACGCGCTGCTAGGGTCTGGCTAAAACACAATCCCCGGAAACACGAGACACCTCGCTTTGCCTGCAATTGTAGGCACTCTTTGTATCCCAACGCAAACACATTGCAAGTGGAATTGAGAAGTCACAACGATTCCAAGCAACCTCACTGCAGCGCGTTCCGTCAAAACTTAAGGTTGCACCCGCAGTATTGAGCAATGTCTTCTTTCCAGCAAGCGCCTGCGACGTTAGGCGCCGTTCCCGACATTGCGACGCTGTTTCCGCACGCCGTTTCGGCGACGCGTTCGTGGAGTAAATGAACGTGGCTAGTCGCAACAGGCGCCGTCGGATGTATCCCGTGCCTCTCTTCCAAAGAAAGCACTTCACTACTTCACAAAAGGAGACGATTCGGTCCCGTTCGCAGAGCCACCGACCGCTGCTTCCTTCGTTTCGGAGGGTGGGGCACCGCCGCCGTCTGCTTCGTCGCGAAGCTGCAGCGCCACATTCTTTACGAACGGGTTGGTCTCGTCGCCGCTTGACCTTCCTCCTGAGCGTTCCGGGTCGGCCCCGAGGTCGTTCTTTGCGTTGTCAAGCTCTGGGTGCTCGTCGTCTGAGTCGTACGGGTTGTGCGAACGCACGCACCCGGGGAAAGCGTCCCTCCAGGCGCTGAGCAGGTGCTCCCAGAAGGTGCGCTCGGTGAGCTCGTGGTCGCCGCGTTGGAAGTCGAAGTCTGCCACTTCCACGTGGAGGTGGCTCCGCGTGTGGACGTGGTACGCGGCACCCGTCACGATGATCACGATTGCCAGAAGCGAGCAGGTGATCGGCAGGATGATCATCGACAGGAGGCCCTTGTGCGACACTGCAAAATGGGGCGGACGACGGGACACGACGTCACACTTCGCTCCTGTCGTGACAGAAGACCGCGTTCCTTGTCAAGCTTTTTGCAAGCGATTTTGGGTGGGAGTGGCGTAACGTGTCTGTTGCGTCGTTTGACGGCTACCCTTTACAAGTTTCTGCCGAATCATCAAGCGCTTAAAGGGGCACAAGTGCTTTTCGAGAGCCTTTTTTTTTGTTTTTTTTACTCAATCTTTGAGCTCTAGGCGTCCAAAAAAAAACCCCGCAAATTACATTCACGTACGGCCGATTGCATATTAGGAAAGCAATAAAAAAATCCCAACACTTACAGTCGGCGCAGAATGACAGATGGTGCTGCTGAACCTTGCTAAATATGGTTCAATGACTGACGGTGCTTGTCAGCCACTCGCAAGCGAGGGGTTCCCACGTGGAGGAGCGGCCAACCAGTCCTGCTCGTCCACGCAGGAGCCCATTGCTCGTGAATGGCTGACAAGCGCCGTCCATCATTCGACCATATTCAGCAAGGTTTGGCAGCACCATCTGTTGTTCCGGGCCGAAGACAAGTGTCAGGATCTTTGATCGCTTTTTTAATATGCAAATCGGTCAAGCATGAATGCAATTTCGGGTTTTTTAGGATGCTTAGAGCTCGTAGATAAACGAGGATCTCAAAAACCACTTTAGTGCCCCTTTAAAGGCCGAATTAAGACTTTCCCTCCCTTCGTCCTTTCCCTATATCGTCTCCACTTTTTATTTTGCCCCAACTCGGCACTCCTCGCGGTTTAGAAGAGCAGAGCGCTAAGAGGATTATCTTCCCTGCAGGAGACTGCGATTGTACGTTGGCCTTTAAAGGGGCACTAACAGAGTTTTTTCACCTCATCTTTTTATGGCACAAACTCAATTCATGCGCCCTAAGCATCCTCCGAATCTCAAGTTTACACTAATGCGTGGCCTTTTTTGACCATTATAAACTTGATAAAATATCATGTTATGCCCCTGTTTAGAGATATACCTCAGAAAAAGGGGCATGTCTTGATGTTTGGGTGCATTTTTAGAAGAGAAAATCGCTATGCACGACTGTCATCTTGGGTTTTCTAGAATGCTTGGGGTGCATAGACCAAATTTGTGCCATGGATGGACAATCTCAAAAACCGCTTTAGTGCCCTTTAGTGTTTGTACATTGCGTCGTGTAGTGACGGGCCTTTCTCATGCTGCAGCTAAAATGTCAGACTGTTCGCTGACTGAGTGGGACAACCTGGCTCTCCGACTCAACCAGTGTTAGCAAACTGCTGTGGTGTCCCAGACTTTTTCGTTGTGACTTCCATGAAATAAGCTCATATACAGCTCTGCTGTGTCGGAAATCTACTGTGTCACAGATCATCTGAAAGTTTGACAAAACTCTTAAGCATGTATGCTATGCGCTGCTTTGCCCTGTTGCCAAACCTATGTTCTTCCCGAAATGCTTGCTGCACTATGTGGCAGTCAAACGTTTGCGGTGACGTGCAATAGCTTGAATTTGGCGTGTCAATGATGCAGCAAGTAACAGCTAAGTTTTTGCAAATTTCTCAGCTGTCCTGTAGCGACTTAACTATAAGCTAAATGCAGGTATCATCGAAATGGTCCCTCCTTTTTCCTGCATTTCATGGCAGACACTCACTCAAAAGGGGAGACCCATGCCTCACAAGTGCATAAGGTCTATCAAACGCTAGGGGAATTAAATACTTTCAAGTGTTTTTTTTTCCTTTTCAATTTATTTCCTGATAACAAGAGATCAGACAAAACTAAACTATACTAATTAGCGTACACTATGAAATACGTCCAACCATTGCTGAGCCAGTTCCGCATGAAAAATTGGAGCAAACTGTTTCCTAGCTTTGGAATTTTCTTTGATAAAAAGGCATATAAATTAGAGGCAGACACCAACTAACTATGCTTCTCCCTTCTTACCCCCCCCCCCCCCCCCCCCCTTCCATCCCTCCCTGTGGCAGCTCTGTGGGTTTTACATAGCCGGGCACTGTCATATATTTTCGCTGTGTCAGATAGCATAGAAGCTTCCCCCCCGGGAAATAAGGATGTGGTTAGAAATCTCGATGTGACGTATGCAGCATCGGAGAGTTGTTCGGGTTAGCCATCTCATGAAAAACGCTTTTTGTGAAACTGAGACTTTGTGGTGGGGGCGATGACTCAAGAGAACAACAGAACAAAGGATCACTTGAAGCACACATTTACTTGCGAGGTACAAAGCGAAGCCAGCAAAGCCACAAAGAAGCCTGCAGCAACACGGGGTTGACAACCAAGCAAACAACATTTTAACGCAGAAAAAAAAAAAAAATTTATTTGGCCACAGCTTGAGCGAGCTTTGTGCTTCCCAGCAAGTGGCATAGCTTTTCTTTAAAAACAAGCTCCTACAAAGCAGACAAACAACTTGAGCAGAAGCGTGAAAACAAGAAAAAAACTGCAGATACACACCATACTGTGAAAGATTATATACAAAAAAAGGTGAGTTTGAAGAAAAACGAGCAATCTCTCGGCCAACAAAAAGACAACCAAGTGACTACAAACCTCTACCGACCAGGAGTGACGAAGTAACTGTGAGCGATCAATGTTTATATGGTACCTCAACTACATCGTGATACTTTCTGTAACAATCTTCCAAGAGTTCTAGCTTTCTAAAAGCAGATTGCTAGCTTCACAGCTGTTTCCATTCTTCGAAAGAGCTTCTCAAAAGCTTACACACTGACATAGCTGATATGCTTGCAAATGTCCGTACCGCACTGTGCAGTCATGTGCCATACAGTTCTTAGGCAAGAACTTTTCAAGTCTAGAACCTCGCCACAAACAATTTTAAGGATCTCGCAGAGGCACACGAAAAGGGAAATCGAAAGACTGGTTATCTCTGCATAACAAATTCTTTATGTCATATCATAAATTCCCTAGTTCTTACAACCATAAAGCTCTGAAAAATGTGGTTTTACAGCCTGTCAGACTATGCAGTTGAAAGGCTATGCAGCAAAGAGGACAGGAAGGCTTTGCGAAAGGAGGCAGCCAAAGCTAGCATGCAAGGTCTGTACTCAAGCCCCCGAATAAGCTGCGCTTATAGCAGCAACACTTCATTCACCCACGGCTTTGCAAGGACCTCCAGTTTGTTGCTCAAAGCAAAGTGAGAGCAATCATGCGATAATTACGATTAAAACAATAAGACTGTGAGCTTCAGATTTGGTACGAGGAAGCTCAGGCGATATTTGTTTCTCTGTCCTGTTTAAACATTTCTTGAGGAAGGAAAACTGTTTCCAGCAGCCTCGGAAAAAGCTTCAGACGACTGGCAACAATGTTTTTTTTTTTTTTTTTTTTTTTTTTACAGTGATTGTTTGATGCAAAGGTTTAAGCCGTCACATCCAATCCAATCCAATCCAACCCAAACCGTTTTGGACCGTCTCCAAGCTGTTCAGGACAAGTGTAGCTCGTCTGCTTCTCCCGGTTAAAGGGGCGGTGCAATGATTTTAACACTGAAAGAATGTACATCTTGTATTTTTTATATTGTTTACTTCAGCATAAGTGAGAGAAAAAGTGCCACCATACCCCAAAATACCTCTATTTCGCTGCGTAATCGCAAAATAAAAAACACTTTTTTTCCCAACCTGCGGCCACATGGTGGCCGCAAATGGAACCTGTGGTGTGACGTCATTCGGAGTGGTTTTTGTAAGTGATAGTGTTAGGCAATTGTAAGCTTGATTTAAGGTTAAGTTTAAAAAATCTTGTTGTTTAGGCATGCAGAAACGCTTCAAAAGCCTAATATTGCCGCTAAGATTTGTGGCGCCATCTACCGCAAGTCAACAAAACCTGCCGTCGACGCCCGAGGCGCCTACGGTGGCTACACGAGTAACCCGGACGTTTTGTCTTTCCCTCGCTCGACGGAGTGCGTTGGTCGTAGTCCGTAGTATCGTTATTGTTCCTGGTGTCTCGACCTCGACTTCGACTGCCCGCCGCACAAGTCCAACTGACTTACTATACGCAAGCATCTTGCGCTCGACGTCGCTCAGGCCGTCCAACCATGCCGCCATGTTGGTCGGGAATCGACGGGAGAGCGGGGAGAGCAGGAGAGCGGCGAGCCTGGCGAGCCGGCGAGCGCTGGGGAAACGGAAACCAGAAGCACCCAACCGGAAACCAACGCCACTCCGAATGACGTCACAGGCGAAGCTGGTGCCGCTTCAATGTTGAGTTGAGGGGTACCAGAGATACCAATTTCCTTTATTTTTTTTAATGAAAACTAGGGCAAGCAGGAAAGAAGAGTTTTCGGTCCTTCGTTTTATGTGTGGCCGGGATCAATTCCCGCAATTACCTAATTAGCCAAAGTCCGCAAATAGTTGAACCGCCCTTTTAACACACTCAACCATTTTGTAGTTTGTGGCTCTGCCAAAAAATGGCAGTACTGAACTTTTCGAAATATTTGCTACCATTTCGTTTGTGGCTTGAAATACGATTTTGAAAGCAACAACTTTGATTTTGAAGGCAACGATTAAGCAGTTGAGGGTCAGAAATTCCCAGAAACTCAAAAAAGTTCTGGGGATAAGAACAAAGACAGTGTTCAGAAATTTTAAGGCGAGAGATTTTGAGCATTGAGAGTGAGTAGAGAAGAAGTTACTTTGGCTAGAGCGGTGCACACACTCTGCACACCAGTTGCAAAGGGGATGGCCGACACTATCCAATCCAATCCACGGTTGCATCGTCATTATTCTGAAGTGCAGCTCGTTCAGTGGCTCCCGACTGCGTCACGAGCGGGGAAGCAGCTGTGCGAAAGAACGCTCACCGTCGTAGATGTGCACCTCGATGTTCTTGACGAAGGGCCTGCTCTGGACGACGTTGCTCAGGATGATGGCGATGAGGTGGGGGCCGTCCTGGGGGAAGTAGTGGACAAGCGGGAAGCGACACATGTTGGTCGAGATGGGCTCCTCGCACGTCAGGTTGGCTGTCGAGTTGGACGTCGTGTTGCCCGGGAAATACTTCCAGCAGTAGTTGTACGGGGCGCTGCACAGACGTGATGGCACAAGTGCTGTTAGTTCCGGCTAAAGCATGGCTGTGAAAACGAATATCCGCCTTCAGCTTAATTTCAGCTAACGTATGGCCATGTTTTTAAAGGGACAACCGTAAAAATTAGTTGGACATCATGCTGCCCAGGAAGTGCTTCCAGCAGCAGTTGTACAAGCCGCGGCACAAACCGAGAAGTGACAAATAGAGTTTCCCTGCTAACCTCGCAAACTTTATACAGAAAAGCTTTGATGCAAACTGACACACCAACATATATAAACTGGTGCTTACTGTACAGCACAATCTACTCTTAGTTTTATTAAGGAAAGTGTCCGGCTAAAGGCTGTACCCAGACAGCCTTGTCCCATTTCAGCCCAATGATTTCCCTAATAAAACAAAGAGAGAACTCTGCTCTACAGTAAGCACCAGTTTATATGCGTCGGTGCATCAGATTACACCAAACCTTTCTTGCACAAAGTTGGCAAGGAAATGCAGGCGCTGCCGAGACGAGAAGAAACGGAGTGAGCACCGTTCGTTCCAACTAGACCATGCAGCCATACTTCAACAAAAAATTACTGCAAAGGCTGGCTTCCGTTTTGAGCTTGACCCGCTGCACTGCAACCGCTTACGACCAGAGAATACACCATCTATCAAGCTGCGCTGGAACATTTTGTATCTGCGCATCTTTTATGCATAATCTTCTCCTGCTCGCATGTAACAATTCTGACAATGCTATAAGCGACCGCTTCTCGTAGATAATGCGCGCAGGTCCGATCTTGCAGATGGTGTTAAACCTTTGCTTTAATTACATTTGCTCAAACACAAATGCATGAACTAGCTTTAATATAAATCACAGTTTACAGTTAGCTCTACAGGAAGCATTAGTCCATGCACGGCTGCATCAAACTGTGCCTAAATTTATGCGAAAATTCAGCGAGGAAACACTTTGAGCTTTGAGCACATCTGCACGATTAATTTTTTCATTTCGGCATCGCAGTTTGACACTGGTCGGTGCGATGTGTGAGAGCAAAAGTCCGAGACGTGCAGAGATGAAATGCTGACTGGAGTGACGAGTCGCCGAATATAGGGAGCATCGCTGAACGTCATATTTGAGCGGACTGTTCAGAGCGCATGCTCAGAACGGGCTCGCATTACTAGGCTGCTAAGACCGGCAATCTTGATGGTGTAGAATGCAAGACGTAAAAGAGCCGTGTAAGCTAGCCATCAATATGCGCTCTACAGTTGCGCACGCAGCTATGGCCGCCAGTGAATACGCCCTTTGCGAAGCGCAAATTCGTCTGCTTCTCTCGCCGGTTTTGTGGCGACATCAGAATGCCGAGCTCCGATTAGCTTTGATCGAAGGATAGCGGGTAGACCTCAAGGCAGCTTGCTTTGAAGTGTACCTACTATCCTTCAATCACAGCCAATCAGAGCTCGGCATTCTGACGTCACCACAACCCCTGCCAAAAGAAGCAGACGAACTTGCACTCCGCATAGCTTCAGCCTGGACCTGGTGCTTATGCAATGCTGCAGAAGGTATGAGGCAGCTGCAAGCAACAGAGACAACGGCCAAACGTGCATTCTTCTGGCGACATCACCTTTGGTACTGCCGCCGTCCCGACAGTGAGTGGCGAGCTTGGTTAGGAAACGGATGTGAGCTCACCTTCCGTTGCAGGACACCTGGAGGGAGACCACGTCGCCGTGCCGGAGCCACACGTTTCCTTCAACGCTGACGCTCGTGATGGGATCTGCCGGAAACGAAGCCGAAATGCGAGTACGTATTACAATAAATGATTGCCAAACTAGAGTTGCTGAAAGCGTAGGAAAGCTGGTGAATCTTTGAGGAACCCCATACTTATAGGAAAAGAAGAGTGCCTCTGATTGCACTTGAGCTCTAGCACACATTTAAAGCTCGAGTGCTTTTAGGCACCACTGGAACAAAAACACAGTTTTATGAAAGAATTTCCCAAGTGCTCTTTCAAAAATGCTTTCATATTTCCTAGCACTTCTTCCACAACACCCTAAAACAGTGCGGGTTGGTGCAAGGGGACGCCACGCGTTGGTCGGATGACGTCACTGACCCAACAAATCCGGCAGCATTTTCGAAGGGGGTGGATCCGAGGGCATATAAATCCACGAAACCATCGTACCACTTTCAAAATAAATTTAGCAGGATTGTGGGAACATACAATGGGCCCTAGCAGAGTAGTTCTCTCATATTTTATTGTTGGTGCGTCCTAATCCCTTTAAGGTTGCTCGAATGACGTCGAGTCTCGGAAAAAGAGCTCATGCAAGTACCTTTGGGAGCGACGTCCCTCGTGAACGATCCGACCTTGACCACCTGCGACGTCGAATTGGGTCTGGAGACTAGTGCCACCACCACCAGGTACACGGTGTGCTGCCGCGTGTCGGTGAAGTTCTTTTCCAAGTAGGGCGCGTAGACCGAGTGGCCATAGTCCAGCTGCGTGACATGCCAACAACGATGCCTAAAAAAGATACTCCGGCGTTTTCCTCAAAGTTGACCAAACACACAAAGATTGCTGCACCAGCAACTCAAATACTAGGTTTTATTTTTTTTTTTTTTTTGTGAAATCAATTTACAATTTTGGTCCTCACCACTTTTCTTTTTTCAAACTGAAAGCTTCTAATGGCAACAATGAACAAGAGATGCCAGCAGCAGGCAGGGGTTTGCTCCTTGGGCAGTGGAATTTGCTCCCAACTGATTAAAAGCAGTTTCATTGTGTCAAATGAATGCTTTGGAAGCTTGCTCCAGCACCCGCGCAGCAGCACGTAACCAACGCGCAGCAGTCTGTTTTCTAGACAGTCTGCTCGACCTGCGGGCCTGCCTGCCTGTGACGTCACGGTACTAAAAAATGGTGGATACATTTGAATGATGGTTTTGGCATCAACCTTTATTTGACGACTTCAAAACGGCTATTTTGAATTCCACGATACTAAATAATAGCTTTGAGCGAATATTCAAATTTTCAATTAGTGCTTTAGTATAATATGCTATTTGATATTCGCTTCGAGATGAACTGCGATATTCATACTTTTCGAATTGTTGATCTCAACGGGTTAGCCTTGTTGAGTGTGCTTCTTGCTGAGCACCTGTGCACTGCGGGGAAGCAGTACCAGTGGAGTTCGCCAAAGCCGTATATGTAGAGTGTTTGGCCATTCATTGAGAAGTATAGGAGACAAGTCAGGAGGCGCCATTGGCCGAAAGCGGGCTGGGCGTGTTCCAGGGCGTCTTTACAAATTCGAATGTGGTCAACCAAAAGCCGGTAATAATACCCTGGTGGTGGTCGCGAGAAATAAACTTAATAAGTGCATAGGAGTAACTCTTGGTGATTGAAAATATAGTGCACGTGATGTCTTAATCATGGTCATCCAAAATCATAATGGAAGAGTGAGACTAGCGGAACGATCAACATAATCCGTACGCCAGGCGCCGAGGGCCGGGAATCCGAGCGGTCACACTCTGTCTGAGCAAAACAGAGTTTTAGTGGCACGTTCGTTTCTTACATGTTCCTGCAAAATTATGATAGAAACATCACGTGTACCCTATTTTCAACCAGGAAGGGTTGTTACATTTAACTCTTACAGGATTATTAAAGCCGTTTACTGATTATTAAAACTGCTTCTCGCTACCACCACTAGGGGATTCTGTTCGGCTTCTGGTTGGACAAGAGAGCATGTCAAGCCCTCTTTCTGCGTCTGGTCCACGCCCTGGCTCTGTCCGCGCCTCCCATTGACCAAACTCTTTCTATACACGACTCTGGAACTCGCGGACACTGCGGATATTGCTTTCCTGCAGTACACAGGTGCTCGGTGAGAAGAGCACTTAACGGGGCTAACCCGCCACGATTATTCAAAAGTATTTGTTCGGCAGCAAAGTGTTGACAACCCGCGTTCATCATTTGAGCTTGTTTGTTTTGTCAAATTTAAAATTAAAGAAAGAATATTTGCACATTGCAAGCAGGTTCATAAACCCCCTCGATAAGGATAGCTGCAACAAATTCGTCATCTTCTTGTGCCACAGTTCATACATTTAGTTATAATGAAATTAACTGAGCTTAGAAGTGGACAAGTTCAGCTGAGTTTTCCTTTAAAGGGATACTACAGTGAAATTTTGGCACTTATTTTTTGGTCTATACACATTCAAAGGAGCAGTATCACATCGGACACACCAATATCTTGTCAAAAAAGACACGAAAAGGAGTTTTAAAACAAACTAAACGATTAGCAAAGAGCACCTGGTGGACGCCGCTAAAGCCTCGTTTGTAACGCCCGTCTAGGAACCGTGACAGGAAGGGACGATATCTGTCTCGCCTAGAATAAAGATTAAAACAGCGCAAGGACACGGACAAGAACAAGAAGGTAGACAAACAAGGCGCTGTTTGTCTGCCTTCTTGTTCTTGTCCGTGTCCTTGCGCTGTTTTAATCTTTAATCATGAAATACCAACTAGCCCAAACTTCTACTTTAATCAACTCGCCTAGAACTATACATGCTTTGAACCTGACGTCATCCCGACAGCTCTAAGGCCAGCACAAGAGAAGTGGGAAGGGAAGAACTTTCCACTCAACGGGACACTCTTGTGTGTGTCCCAGACGTCGCTATTTTCCCTCTACAAGATTATAGAAGATTAACCAGTCACACCAAATTCAGACAAAAGCAGATTTGTGGTTAGTTCCGCTGGCCCGATGGCTGGCGTGCTCCGACCACTTCGGCGACTGGAACGACTAGGGCATCCTGAAAACGTCAGCCTCGCCGCATCTTTGATGATCCCGAGACAAACTATGTCATGATTGCGCTGGATGTGACATGCTCTCCGCTGGCTGCTCTCTCAGGGCTTGCCAGAGATAAATACAGCCATCAGGCTCAAAATACAAACAAGCGATTGCCATTTACGGATATTGTGGATCATACTAGGCCTATTTCTGAACACGACGGGTACATTTCAAATTTCGTAGAAATATCCCTTTAAGCATGGTGCACGGTAGTGTGAGGTTTGGCCAGAGCCCTGCAATTACTAGAAAAGTGCTATCTTTTGGTGTTTTTGAAACAAAAAAAAAAAGCAAATAATTTTAAAAATAAGGGTGGGTTATCTTTTCTTTTTTGGGGGGGGGAGGGGGGGGGGGGGGGGCGTTTTTCGGGATGTTACGGTACTCTTAATAATGAATACATACCCTAGTCGACCTAGAAGGTCAATAACATTTTGGATTCTGTATTGTTAACACAAAATTAACAAGGAAGTACACACAATTCAGAAAAAACACATTTTTGTCTAGGAAAAAACAAGAAAAAACTCCTAGATTTTGAGCTGTCAATATTATTTCTAGACAGTTGGGCCCTTGCAGGGTGCGTTTGAGCAAAAATCCAGACAAGTATAGACAGCTTGCCGGCGTCCATTTAAGTGTGTTGCTCATGGAGTTTAGGAAGTTCCCAGCATGTTTTCCACGTGTGTTCAGAGTGAGTACGGTGGCCACTGTTGAAGACTAGTAGAGCCTTCCACTTCTATCACCCTCCCCCCCCCCCCCCCTCTAGAACGTTCTAGTAATCGCTTACGTCTCCCCCCTTTCTAGTACAGGCCCGGTTCAATATTCACCTCATGTGCACCGCCTTTTCCGCCGACCGAGCTGTGGTGAGTGTTCCGAGCATGCCGCGGGAGAGCTTTTTTTAGCAGAATACCAGATGCCGTGCGTGCATCCACAGCCTACACTGTAAGAAATCCGGTGCATCTAGTACTTTCCCCGAAAAGAGAGCCAATCGCTGCAATCTATGGGCGGAGCTCGGCCAATGACGAGGCTGGAAATATCGTTAGACATAAAACAACCGTCTGCGCTGTTGCACTGAGCATGCTCCCTCTGTACATTGCTGCGATTGGATCGCCCAAATGCTCTGTGGGAATGTAGACCTTCCAGTTTGTTTTTTAAAGTAGCGACCAGGCGCTTCTCCCCAGGGTGGCGGTCGCTGGAAACGTATGCAGCCTACCTTCCAGGAGAGGCTGTTGACGGAGTTGTTGAAATATCCGCTTGGGTCGTGCAGCTCGAAGGTGAAATTGGTCGTCCGGTTGGTGGCAAGGATGAGTCTGTCGTTCGGGAGCGTCCGGTTGTCCTGACTCACCACGATCCGGCCCACAATGTCCCCTGCACGACGGGAGCGCGTCGTTTTTGACCTCAGTCCCCCGTTTGTCTCTTAAACTGACCAAGCGCAGCGACAAACATAGCTGATCTAGCGACAGTGACCTAAATAATGGACCCAAATAAGTTTTTTCTTTTGTTAAGTTATTGAATTTACAATTTTTGGTCCTCACCATTCTTTTCAGACTGAAAGTTTGAAAAGAATGGTGAGGTGAGGTGACAATGAAAAAAAAAGTTAAACGACGGCAGCAGCAGGCAGGGGTTCACTCTTTGGAAACTAGATTTTGTTCCCAACTGATCACACGCAGTTTCGTGGTGCCAAATGCGTGCTTTGGAAGCTCGCTCCAGCACCCATGCAGCGGCATGAAACAAACGCTTGGTGTGCTCTCCTCTTTAAACTGCACGCTCGACCTAGCTCCGAAAAGAGTCGGTGTATCTGAACGTTGGTTTCGGGGTCATCTTCACTTGCCTATTTCGCAGTAATTATTCTCAATTTCGTGATTCTAAATAGTGTACCGGAAGAGGTGAAGGCCGGGGATTCGGAGAACATAGTTAGTTGGGGTAGCTCAAATTAGTTGTGCTTTGTTGTTGGTTGTCGTTTTTTTTTTTTTTTCATGATCGTTGATTTGTTTCAGGATTGGTTGATTGCCCCAAGAGACTAGGCTGAACTACTAGTGACTAAAATATTATGCCAAATTAAATATTTTTTAAAATTTCTGTCTTCATTGCATTATTAAAACGGGAAGTCTCTAAAACGCAATTATGTTGCACACATGTTTAGCAAGCAGGTAGTTAGCCAGCACCAACAGGTCTCTAATGACTCAGCTGTAGATAAAACATTTATCCAGTGCAATATGGTTCCTAGCCTGGGGTCTTCAACGTGCATTGTGCAGTAGTCACACACGATCGCACGTCGGTACAATGCACATCCAGATCGAAATGGGCAGGGGTGGGCATTGAACCCAGGATTCAGTTTGAGCTTTTCTTCTATGTGCTCCAGAAAAAACCAAACCAAATTCGATGTTTGCGTTTAGGCAGCGTGAGGTCGGTCTGCCTTTGAGGTATGGAGACACTGGTTACCGCTGTAGACAAGCAATTTAGCCAGTGCAGTACGACTACGCGCTGGGGGTCTTTAGCGCCTTTTGGAAGAGCATTGCAAATTCACAACATACCAGTTATACACATTTTATAAACGGCGTTACTGAGCACGTGGTCTGCCGATTTTCAGACGTCATATCAGTGAAACGGAAGATGAGATGTTGCGATATTCTTTCTAAAGTGTCTGTGGTACCAACCAACTTCTTGCGCAGCACTTCATGTAAATTTGGAGCTTGCTGGCGAAGAAAAACTCCACGTTCGCTTCGTCGCGAATTTCCGATATTCGGCATTCGGTGATGTGCATGTAATGTTGACTATGGAAAGAGCACATTTTAGCTTGTAAATTAATTTCAATAGAATGTGAGTTGTACAGGTGTGACCCCCAAGCTCTCGCTAATCTTGGCTCAAAATTTAAGAGCCTGGCAGGCCCGTGCGCGTCCTTGACCAAGACATTTGCACGGAACACTGGCCAGTGGCGGGTGACACGAGTGTGTGGTGCAAGAAACTGGGTTGTAAAGGTACAGATTGTCATAATGTACAGCAATATCAACGCCCATCTTTGCTCGAAGAAGCATCTGTTTTCAGGAATTTCTCTAGCCCAAGGCTTGAGCCCGTGGGATTTCAGCACTTTGCTCGTTTGTTTTTAGCGGGTCAAGAACAAACTCTTGTTTCATAACTTTGACACCTTAATTTTCTCTCTACATTTATCTTTGAGAGGAAATTCAATTCTATGTTGCCTGTTGTTGCAAATTCACGACACACGAAATGTCGTTCTCGTCACAATCGTCGATGTGGCTATCTTTCTTGGGAAACCTCAAACACCACTTCGTAGCGAACATCTTTTTATCTTTTTTTACACGATTCATAAATTATTTTGGCATGAAAAAATTAGTGCGCATCGCACAGAAGTGATATGCGACAACAGCACGCCGGTACGATGCTCATCCTGATGGAAACGGGTGGGAGTGGGAATCAAACCCAGGATCCCCGAATCCTGCAGCACGGGCTTTTGCTTCGTGTGATCCGAACTGAGGTGCATCAGCGCCCTCGGCCAACGATCTTCCGCGTCCCAAGGAAGCCACAACCAGGAAAGAGGCAACAAGATTGTACTCACGTGTGAGCGTGAAGCGGCACTTGCCGAAGGCCACCTTGTGCTTGCTGAAGAAGTATGACTCGTATGCGGTCACCTCCATGACGTAGTCACCAGAGGGGTGATGACTGCTCTCGAAGGTGAGCGCAAGCGAGGCCATCGTTCCGTTCTCGATCCAGTACTCCTGCTTTGCGTGAGGAACATTGTGACGAAACTGGAAATACAGGTCCGTGTAGCCACCGGACTCCAGCTTTGCCATGAAGGTGATCGTCGAGTCCAGGATCGCAGGGCCATCGTTGGTCACGTTGAGTTCTGCGAAGCGGTCGTTGGCACATTGACTGTTTGCACGGGACTATAGTCATGGTGGGTGGAACGCGCCTGCAACTGGCGTGTTTACAACGCCTAAAAAGGTGATTCCTCGATTTTTTTCGCCTAACGACGCCGTAAAAGTGTCACGCCGTCGCCGGCCTCTTAGGTACTGCATTGGTTTGACGTGCGTAGTGTCCAGCATTTTTTAGGTCTTGGCACAAGTTAGCTGAAACACCCTGTAGATATACAAAGAGGGTGGAAAGACCCCGGAGGAGCGACATTCGGACGGCATGCTCGAACCTAGTTCAGAACATGCTTGGCTGCCTTACTGTTTCCAAGCTTGGGCTGAGCTCCAGCCGATCCAGGCCCGTTCCTCGACCAATGACAATGCCCGAGCAAGTTTTGAGACTTTTGCCGAGCACTGGCCAATCATCGGCGCCCTTGGCCAGCGATGATTTGCCAAGCTTGGTCCAATGTCGACCTGTGCTTGGGGTGCTTATGAGCGTGTACACACAGGATGAGTCGTTTCACGGAGCCTTTTTGAAATGATGTATCACTACTGCGTGGTGCACGTTAAAGACCCCAGGCTAGCGGCTGTACCGCACTGGCTAAATTTCTCATCTACAGCTGGGAGACTCGTCGCCCCTGTGAGGCAGACCAAGTTCTAGGCTGTATAAACACACACACAACCCAATTATTATTATTGACGCACCCCTTCCTGGTAGAGCTAGAGACACTCCACACTGGAGTGCGCAAAAGACACAGTAGAGCTGACAAGTTTGTAATTTACCTCCTAGCAACTGTGCCAGGGGCTACTAAAATGAGTACTTAGTGGTGTCGGCTGTTGCAATGTTTTCAGTGCTTCGAGGAGAAGCATCATATTTTCTGAAGGTGCCTACTTTTCTGCCAACACTTTACGTTACATAAATAGGGCCCCATACAAACGGCATTCAGGTCTTTAAAAAGCAAAAGTATTTGGGATCTTTTTAAGGAAGTATGGTTGTTGGGAACAAAAAGAAAATAAGGGCCCAGGTATGCTTGCTTTTGGAGCCGTTGGACAAAACAGAGTACTCTTTGCCCTGTCACGCTGGTTTCACAGCAACTTTTATCAACTGTGTTATTGGCTAATTGTCAGACCTATCGGATAAGAAACATTCCTCATATCAGATTGCTCCGAACCCAGACGTTCGCAAAAGGTGGGCTTTTCTTTATTACTTTTGTAGTCTCCAAGCACGAGTCAAACCTTTTGGAACGAAGTCGGCATACCTTCAACGAAGCAGCTTTACTAATATGGTTAACGAGCATGTAAACACACGAGAAAAACAAAACAAAAACTAATGAAAGACCACTTTGACGAAGCCATCAAGGTAGGATCCAGCCATTCAGTATAAGCAGCCTGGAGCCAACGGATGTCTCACATACGGAAGCATTGCAGTAAAGGTTTGATTTGAAGTTTGTACTCACCAAGAGCACGGGTAACCACAGCCAGTAACAGGGCTGACGCAGTAAACAATTCGCAAGACGACCGGACGGATTTCATGTCGTCGCGTCGGGCATACCGAACGAATCCTCGTCACTTAGAAAAACACTAACGGGCCACTGCTTTGTGCTCGATACATCTGTGAACGAGCGATTTTCGATTCAGGGCAGCATACACAGAGCTTACGTGAAGTTTCAGAGTTGTACCAGTTCTACGGCTCAACCTTCGTGTAGTTTTTACGGGAGAAGCCAGGTGACGCACCGATGGAAACGGAAATCACGGAAATCGCGGAGAGCTGATTCCAATCACACGCGTAGTTTCGCATCTGCACGTACGTTCGTTTTCGAAGTTTCGCGGTTCCGGTTCCGGTTTCTTGAGTTTTGGTTTTTGTTTCGGTCGCGTCAGTTTGAGGGAGGGGGGGGGGGGGGGGGGGGTGCGTTCGTATACGACACAAATTGCTGTTATCGAAGTGTCAGCGTTCGTTTAGACTACTGAAATAGTGAAAATTCTCCTACAATGCGCAAACCACTTTTTTTTTTTTTTTTTACATTTTCTTGAGTTTTTTTTAATAACTACTTAGACACACCATCGGCTGACAATAATCAAAAGAAGAAGAACCATCACTAAAGTGACCATATTCCTCAAGGTAAAAAACGGGATATTCCAGCGAAAGAAAAAAAGGGGGGGGGGGGGGGGGGGGGGGCGTACTAAAGTTCTAGATGGGGTGAAAACATTTAATGAAATTCTGTATGAGTGCTATTTCTACATGATTCTACATGTGTGCTATATCCAGTAAATAATAATAATAATAATAATAATAAAATTCTACACACGCATTTTTGCGAGAGAAAAGGTGTTTGTGGGCAAGAACAGTTCTAAATTTTACTCTCTGGGTAAATATTTTAAAGTACCTACGGTTATTAGAGCGCAGCTCTTGGGCGCCTGTTTCCGTCTTGAGCGGCGTCGCCGTCGTCATCGCCGTCGCCGTCACTGTCGGCGTAACCGCGTGGTGAATTATGGGAAATATGATATATCCCATAATGCACCGCGCGGGATTCTCGTGACGTCACGTGTGACGTCACTTGATGACCCAGCACTTTGCTATATTCCTGATCACAGAAGTCAAAAAACGTTTTCAATTCCTCTACAGATTTCGAACTAGAAGAAAGCTCTTTGAAGACCTTTAGTACAAGGGTTTCCACATCAAACTTTAAAGACTTCACTGCGTGCATGGCAGCGTTGTGCACTACACGGCAATTACAATTGGCCTTCAACAAGTGCGGCTGATCTTTCTGCATCTTCCGGAAAACGGAGTTGTGTTTCCCATAATTCACAGAAGCGTTATCCGCGCTATACGCTACAGCTCGCTTTAAAGGAAGACCCACCTTCTCCAAACTTGTTGCCAAGAGTTCGCAGATGCCGCCGGAAGTCTCGTCCGCCTGCTCACAGAAGTCGAAGAAAGCGTCCGTTATTCCGGCACCATTCACGTCGTAGAAGCGCTCGGCGATGGGGAAATGTTTTCTATTTCCCTTGTTGGAGGCATCCGTGCACAGAGCAAACGGGAGGTAGCGGCCTGCTGGGCAAAGTTTCTCGACTATGCACTCCACTGCATGAGGCACCAGCACATCTTTCACGGGGTGTTCCATCTTCGTTCTTCCAAGTCGCATTCTGCAAGCGACGTCTGAGTCCGGGAAGACTTCTGACGCAAACTTGCTGCCACAATCCATTAACCGGTAACTGTAGTTGTGCTTGATGCCGTGGAATATGGTGCCCAGTTCTGCAGCAGTCACCTTATCTTCTGCGCTAGAAGTCGCTGGAGCGAAGAACTTCGTGAGCGTAGCCGATTGTTTCGAGGCGAGGCTCTTCTGCTTACGTTTCTGCGTTGACGCGTGATGCTTGACAGCGCTGACGCCATCAAATTTCACCGTAAATGTGCTTGCGCATAAAGTACATCTTGCAGCGGTGTGCATCGTCGTCCACGGGCAGGAGCCAACTCTCGTACTCGGGTTGAGATCTCCAGTCTTTCCGGAACACGCACTAACGTAATTTTCGCTGTTTCGAAGGCGGAGAATTTGCGGTCATGATGCAAGCAAAAGAAGCGCGTAACCACTGATGCAGATTTTCGCTCTCCCAAAGGGACCTTGCTTCCAGTATTTATGGGCACAACATAAAAAGTGGCTGACAAATAGCGTGGAAGTTTTGGTGATTGACGTCGGGAACGCCTCTGTACAAACCAATCGCATCGCTGCGCGCGGTACTGCCCTTCAAGACCCAATCTCCAATAGGATATGGCAGAAAACGGAGAGCTTTGCCCTCGGTTCCTCCTCAAACCTCCTCTGTGTTTAGCGCCCCTTTGGAAAAAAGACAGACACGTCTCTCGGTGTGTAATTAATTTATGGCAGCCATTTGGAAATAGAAAGCAAGCCTGAACATAGCAACACATAAAAATGCTCTGAAATAGTGCCGAAAAAACGACAATGTCGGCGTCTTTCTTTGATCCTCTGCGATGGCTCCACTGGCAGTGCACGGTAGCACAGACAATGAATCAGCACACTCTGTCACTTTGGAAAGCACGCAGGCCAACAAGTAACCCCAGCTGCGAGAGCCGGGAATCCCTTCCTAGACAACGTCGGCGCGTGTCTGGCTTGGCACTCAAGCAATTAACTTCGAATATCCCCTTATGTTGGCGCAGAGCTTTCCGAAGGGGAACGCATAGCGAGAACAAAAGAAAAACAACTATGGAGGTCAGGAGGGAAGGGAAGGTTACTTTTAGGACACAGGCAGCAGTGACAACAGCTGCGAGAGACGCTCAGCTCTTCCTAGACATTGTCGGCGCGTTTCTCTGGTCTTCAACTTAAACATGTTAAATGGAGAACGAAGAGGGAGGGGAAAAAACGACGACGACCTAAAGTAACAACAACAATATTACACAGTGGCGTCACAAGGGGGGGGGGGGGGGCGGACCGTCCCGGGTGCAGCGCTCAGGGGGGTGTCGCGGCAGCCCACGAGAGCGGGGGGCAGCCCACGAGAGCGGGGGGGGGGGGGGGGGGGGGGGGGGGGGGGGTCGCGGCAGGCTACGAGAGCGGGAGAGTGTCCGCGGGCTGCCGCCCCGGGTGCCGCTGACCCTCGTGACGCCACTGATATTACACCATCTGTAGTGGAAGGGGAAAGCTTGGGGAAAGCGCATACGCCGCCCGTCAGAGTGGACGGATGAAGCGCCGTGCGTGTCTTTGTCAAGATGCCGACAATCGTTGAGAAAGCCAACACCTCCCAGAAGGCTTAGCTATCGGTATGGCCTGTCGCCGAGTTGCCTGCCGGCGTCTTCTCGCTTACCCTCATTTTCCTGCTTTCCAGCTTTTCACCACGAACCCGGTGTGGTTGTTTCGTTTTGAATTGACTGTACCCCTCTGTACCCCTCCCCTCCCCTCCCCTCCCCTCCCTCCCTCCCTCCCCCCCCCCCCCCGGTCTCAGGGAGTTCTCCTGCCGCGCTCGCCCGCGTACTTTCTCTAATCGCGTGTCTTCACGGTGTTTGTGTAATTTTAAACTTTTTTTTTTCGTCGACAAATATTTATCGTAAGTTGTTGTATTGCCGCTTAAAAAAACGGGGGAAAAGATAAGCTAAAAGCAATCGCGCTTCGATGGCTGTCAAAGAACCGGCCAATGACGCCCGGTCTTACCTACGGACCGGCAACCGGCCTGCTGTCTAAAAAACCGGCCGGGCCGGTCAAAAACCGGGCAGGTGGCAATCCTACACAGGGAATTTGTGCGTCGGCTATTATGTGACGAAACATTTGACAAAAAGCTCTACACCAGAATGCGTGGTACAATAAGGCCTACGAAATAAGTTCGAACGTTTTATCAAATTATGTCGTGAGTACACTTTTAGCCTGCCTCTGTTGTTATAACAAATAATCAGAAAAACAAGCAACAAATAAGGCAGTATAAAAAGTCCTACCATTTTCGCTGCGCCGCATCTGATGTATCCGATAAGGTCGAAATGGGCAAGTAAAGCTTGGTCAGCTCAGACGCTATACAGAAACAAATTCTAATAAGAAATCCCGGGAATCAAATGCAATTCCTCGTTGCCATTCAGTGCGGCCACCTTCGTCTATGCCAAACATTTTTTCTATGTCCCTACGGGGGGACCCGAAGAGATTGTTCACAATTGCTCGCTCCTCTCCTTTTTGCCTCTGAATTAATTCTTGGGAATGGCAACAAGAGGTTTTCAAAGTTGGTAATCCGTAGCCTCCTCCACTCAGAAGTGCTAATGGTATCTGGAAAGCAGCTCGCTTGGGCAGAGTGCTCGAAGGAAAGGGATGACCCTCAAAGGCCAATCAAACTGACGCCTGAGGAAGAGTGTCATAATTCTGTCGTGCTCAAATCTGCTTATTTTCGACACTCTTTCTTCCGTTCGGGGATGGCGTCCGAAGCCGTCCGAAGCCGTCGCCCCCGGACGGCCGAAGCCGTCCGAGCGGCGGCGTTGAAGGGCGCTACTCTGAAGCCCATGGTCAAATAAAAAAAAAAATGAAAGGCGTTTACACTTCTCTGCAATGCCGCATTAGAGCGCAGCTCTTGAGGAGGAGGAGGGGAGGGTACGGAAGAGAGTCCTCGCCTTCCGTACCCTCCCCTCCTCCTCTTATGCTCCCCTCCCATTTAGCGAGAAATGTTCGCTAAATTTCCCTCTAAATTTAGCGAAAATTTTCCTGCTAAATTAAGCGGAAAACTGAATTGGTGTTGAGGTCACGTGACGTCAGTTTTCCCGCTAAATTCAGCGGGCTAAATTTCACGTGACGTTACATTAGTTCGAGTGACATCACATGTGACGTCACGACGGTAAAAATTCCCCCGTTAAATTTAGCGGAAAAAATTTTCCGGGCTGAGTGGCGTCACGTGTGGCGTCACGAGGATATTCTGTTCCCACCGAATTTGGCGGGAAATTTTTCCGCTAAATTTAGCAGGGAAATTTTCCCACTATATTTGTCGTAAACTTTTGCCGCTAAATTTGGCGGAAAATGTTTCCGTTAAACTTAACGAGAAAATTTCCTCCATAAAGGGCCCTGTAAGGACTTTTTTGCTGGTTTTTAATTTGCACCGAACCTGAGCGCACTGAACGGAGTAACTTAATGAAACTTTTCTTTTCTCGAATTTCGCAGTATTTTAAAAGTTATAGGCAAATTAGAATTACAAAAACAAGCAAAGAATAACCTTCTTCATGACGTCTTTGGTTGCTTGAGTGGCCGTGAACTACAGGAGGTATAGTGAGCTCAGCGAGCGGTCACGGCTGCCGCATTCCGTGTCGACGGCTCGAGAGGGCGTCACTAAAGCATGTCCTGGCTAGGCTGTATGATGAAGCGGGCAGCCAGGGCGGCTCGCATTGCATTTGCTGCGCGATTAAAGACTAATTTGGCATAACACTTCATTGGCCACAAACGGCAGCAAACACGGGGTAAAAATTAGTTCGGAACGGGAGCCACTTCGCGCTGCCACACCGCGAAAAGGACAAACCCAAAGCCAAAGCTGCTCGCCGAAGGCCTTGGAAACGCTCGGAACCGGTCAGGTCCTCCAGTTCGTAGTACCGCAGCGCCGCCGCGTACATCCGAGACCTTTCTACGCTCGCCGCTCGTTGGCGCCTGATCCCACTACACCTTTCTAGTATGCACCGCCTTTTCCACCGCGTGGTGGCGGGTATGTCGAAGGGTTATTTCTTGTTTCCGTACTTTCTAAACGGCATTTGTTTCTTTTCTGATCTAAAATAGGGAACAAAAACTACTTTTATAAATATTTGAAACAGTTCGCACCACTTATATTTTGTATTTCGACAAAAAGGAAGCTTTTAGCGGCTGTGACCAGTTGTAAGCCCAGAATCAAAGACGTCACATTTGCGCGCTTTCGGTACCTGCGGGTCGCCCTCGTCGGTGGAGGAGGTTTCCGCGTCGTCCGGTAAAAATATTGCGCACTGCTATTTAGTTACTCTCTCCGTGCCCGCTGGCTTGCCCGAACCCCGAGGGACGTGGAAACCGCAAAAAAGGTAGACGATTAAGTATGATTGCAGGGCCCCTTTCAATATAGCGGAAAGCTTTGCCCGCTAAATATAGTGAAAAAATTTCACGCCAAATTTAGAGGGAAAATTTTACCCTCGTGACGTCGCACCTGACGTCACGCGTGACGTCATAATGGGAAACGTCCCATAATGCAACGGTCGGCTACGCCGACGGCGACGGCGACGCCGCTTAACCTGGAAACTGGCGTTTGAGAGCTGCGCTCTAAAACGGGCTCGTTGTTTTTGTTTTTTCTGCACCGCGTTGTAACGAGGAAGCAGGTGTGATTGACGTTCGGAGCCCCTGCCAATACAAGGTTTGGACAAACATCTCAAAGGCTCGACTATAAAGTGTTCAAATTTCAAGCTTATGCAGTTCGGATTTCCTCCGCTCGGGGGGGGGGGGGGGGGGGGGGGGGTGCTGATATTTTTCGGGAGAAGCTTGGATCCCCCCCCCCTCCCCCCCTCCCTTTCCCCCCGGATCCGCCACTGCCGTGTGCACGTGCTATTTTCTATGGTGTAGACACAACCACACACTCAATATTAAAAATAAAAATAAATATAATATCCAGTTTTGTGGCTTCTACAAAGCCGCAAATACGTTGAGTGAAGAAAAAAAAAAAAGTTGCACAGACACGTGACTTCCGCTAGCCCTCTCTCCCTCTATATATCAATTCTTCCTTCCTAGTCGAGTTTCAGTTTCGGTTTCGCGTTTTTTTACTCCACTAAAAATATACGAGACGCTGGATTAAAGTATTGATTATGTAGTCTTCTGACATCATAATGAATCGCCTGGAAAAAAATAAAACAAATAGATTGGGGGAGGGGGCGGGGGTGTCAGTGTCCCCTGCGGCTCCCTTCCAAGGCCGAGCAAGAGGTCAGGCCACTGTTCCTCTCTCACCCTGGAAGGGGGGGAGGGGGGGGGGAGGGGAG